AATTTGGAGACAAAGTAAACCTACTTTCTGTTCTTGAAGCTGCTAGGAAGATCAAGTCACAGGCTTCGAACTCAGAGAACAAATGATTCTGTGAACTGCCTAATGCAGGATAACTTGGAGCACTCACCGTGTCTTTGGGAGGTGTTGTGTTTCCGCTGTGTCCCTCAGGGGTTAGACACCCACTTATACTGTGTTCTCGGTATAAATCAGTAACATATTTAATAATGTCTTCTATTTATGCCCAATAAGGCAAAATTACCCCAAAAGAAGGCTGATAAAAATCTAAGAAACTGTGGTAAGGGTTATTTTAGCTAAAACCTGGAAAATATGAAGCTTAAAATCGACTGCTGCACCTCATCACAAATGTTTATGGTGTTTGAGTGCTGTTATTTCAGATGGTTTTTATTTTTATGTCTTCAAAACTCTAAGAAAAGTTGATTGAGAAATTAGAGAATGTAAGGTTTTTGACTTTTATGGTTTCTGTTAATAACTTGTTATATAATGTCAAAGAATATTCATATAAAGGGACTGATAAGCTCCAGATTGGTTTGATACAGATAAATTATAAAGTGAGATCTCTTGTTTCACTGTCTTCCATTCTAACCCCAGAGATTGTTTTTCTAGAAGAAATTATCTCTAGCTCTAAGAAAATTATGCATTAGAAATTACCTGCATATAAAACTAATAAAAACATTTACCATAATGCTGGCTGAAAGTGAAAAATCAGTACTCTCTGTGGATATGGGGTAAGGGGGGAGAAAAATTCTCCCTGACCAGAAAAATTCACCCTGTCATTCATGTTAGTGGTTTTGCTGTCTTTCCTGGCAGAATGACTTCGGTATATAAAATTGGTAGCTTCTTTCCTATTGGTCTTTTAACCTAGTCAAGTAAATAGGGAAAAGGGATATAGAGAGTATGAAATATAACTTAGTACATTAATTTATGTTTGAATTTTATCATGCGAGTAAGTAGGAGGTCAGCAAGAGCCAGGGGGGGAACTCTGCCCAGGGAGTCCTGTCAACATACCAAGTAGGCCCACCAGGAGAAAGGTAGGGGGAGGAACAGAGAGAAGAGAATTTACCCAGGGACCAGCCCAGACAGGAGGAAGGGGTTCCAGGAAAGCAGGAATGGAGACAAGTTAGAAGTAAAGCTGGGGAAGAAGGAGAATGAAGGGGCTGAGTATGCACGGTGAGTAGGGCAGGTGGTTCAGGATGAAGGTGGTGCCTGGGTCTGACTCCGTGTGCTGCTGGCTGCGTGGGGTGTACATAGGCCCATGGACTGGGCTTCTCATTCTTTGAGGCTACACCCTCCAGTACAGTGACTCACCCCTAGAGGCTGTGGTTGCTGAGACTCCAGGTACTGATAGGATAACTCAGATGAGAATTCTTTAATACCTAAATGACACTTGATGATTCTGAAACAGTTATTTTGCAATTAAAGATGAGTAGGGCTGAGCGCAGGTGGCTCACATCTATAATCCCAGCACTTTGGAAGGCCAAGGCAGGAGGGTCACTTGAGCACAGAGGTTTCAAGACCAGCCTGGGTAACAATAATGAGACACCATCTCTTAAAAAAAAAAAAAAATTAAGCTGTGTATGGTGGGTCATGCCTGTAATCCTAGCACTTTGAGAGTCTGAGGCAAGTGGATTGCTTGAGCTCAGGAGTTCAAGACCAGGCTGAGCAAGAGTGAGATCCTGTCTCTACTAAAAATAGAAAAACTAGCCAAATAAAGGACCTGTTAAATTAAAGTCATTAGTCTCTGTGGACTTTGGGCTTAAAGCTTCCGCAGTCTTTGACAAGCATTTGCAGGTTTTCTTTTTATGTATTTGATAAACTAATTGAGAATCCATAATGCAAAGAAGTGCAAGAAAATATGTCCTTGCTATAAAACTGGTAGTTC